TCTCTAAAGCTAAAGCTGTAAAAATGTAAAAATAAATAGCATAAAACAGAAATACAGACATTTGATTGAATGTACTTTATAACAACACATAGCTTGCTATTGCTCAATTTCTGCACAACTGACAAGTCAGTTTGGTCATTGCCACAAATGGACAAGCTGGCCATCAATAACCTTCTGCTAGCTTCCTGTGTGCAATCTGCTCATACAGGCTCCCTGCAGGAGGGACTGGGGGGAAATTATGGCTCTCTCATGTACCAGAGCCCAGTGATCCCACACAGTCTGCCGGTGAACTGAGATCAATATCTCCTAAGAGTAGGTTTTAGCACTTTTAAAAATAGACAACTCAGAGCCTTCAGACGGCGCGCATTATATGAAACGTTCCCAGGCTACAGCCGTTAAGTGCCTGTGCCATTAATGGCCATCATTGTCTGATCTCGTGATGGCAAACAAGGTCGTTGCAGCTGCATATGGAGTCATATTGCTCAAGCGAAATGTTTTAACATTGACCGAAAGCTCTAATGTTGAAACTTTATAGCTGTTCTGCTGCCTCTATGATGGTGTTAATGGTCCCACTCCCCGACTGTACTCCTCCTTTGATACTGAGCCTTTCAATTTCTGTGTCACACGCCTCAACAGGCTGACTCGTGATCACCCTGATGGATGAGCAAACGAGGAGAGAAGTTGTGAGTCTTTCGCTCGAGCTAGTGGAGGTTCAGTGCCCCACAACGCCCACATGGAGCCCTCCAATCGCCTCCAGTCTTTGACACATCATTTCCCCTGTGATTTGTGGCCAGATTGAGGTTGAAGGAGACAAGGAAATTTTCTGTCCTCATGAGAACAGATGGATGCTGCAGCTCTGCAGACTGAGCCGAGGGTTGTTTTTTTTCCCCTCATGATGAACCCTCCTGCTTTATAAAGGATTGGTTTCATGCTCCATTATGGACTCTTGATGACTGGCTATTACAGCACATTTTCAGAAACCTCGACCTGCCACTTTTTTGTTCTTTTTTTTGGGGGGGGGGGCATATAACTGACTGTTCTTTCAGGAAAGTGTTATATATTATTTTGTAAAGTACTGATCGAGTGGAAAAGGGATTTCTCATTGGTCCCCTTTGTGCTGTTTTCATGCCAGATCAAAGTTGAGAGTCTGTTTATGATCAAAGATGGTTGTAATGCCATGAAATGATGTATGATGCAACAAACATGCAACTGGTAAAGTGTGATAGGCTTGTCAGGGCAGCAAATGGTCGCCGTCTTTTTCAACCCCACTCCCACCGCACACCAAATGTTTGATCTCATCTCTGAAGAGCACAGCCTCCGGTGTCTCCCTTGGGATGTTTGATGTTGGAGATCAGAGCTTGTGGTGGTGCAGGCAGGCTGGCGGTGGGGGCTTCACCATTACCACGCGCCACATTCAATCTCCCCAACATCAGATAAATTCAAAGAATTTGCAAAACAGCACCTTCTTAAAAACCCAGACTTTCCTGCTGCTGTGTGTTATATTAGCAGCACATTATTAAAGTTTCCTGGAATAAAAGAGAAAAAAATAAAGCATCTCTGGCTCTGCTGCAGTCTATCATCACCCTCTGGCTGAGAGCTGTTGTAGCATGCCTCAGATTTCTTTCACCACAGTCCGATTCTTTCTCTCTTGTATCTATTGATCTCCAGCTCTGCCCTGCCAATATCTTCTTGTCTGTGAGACCTTTCCTCGTCCTCCATCTTTTATCCATTATTCATCACTCAGCTCTTTCAGCCAGGCCGTAATACCTCTTACCTCCATATGATCGTGGGGCTGTTGTGCACCGTTTGTATTAATGCAGCCCCAGCTGTTGCTTCATTAGTAAAAATATTGAAACAGAAAAGAAGCTCATATCATTTATGCACAGTCAGTGCATTAGTGCAACCAGATGAAAAGTAGAACACGATCATCATCTGAGAGCCACGAACGTCTGTCGAGTAACCTCAAGCTGAGCTGTGACGCTCCTACAGAATTGATTACGACTTTGCCTGTGCCAGCTCAGCTTTTTCAAGGTGTGTTGGCTCAGTCACACTAGAAAGAGGGAAATTGCGTGTGTCAGTGAGCAGAGATTAAGGGTTAATCTCTGCAAATTGACTACATAGGAAGGAGGAGGACTTCACAGGAATCTTTTCATATTCGATGTATTTGAAGTGAAAGGAAGAGGATATTGTGACTCACAAGTCTGTAATTGAAAACATAATGATTGAATTTAACTTTCATTTTCTTCCCTTATAAAGTTTCTGACTTGAAAACATCTTCTCACAGAACAAGTGCTCATATCTCCGTGGGCCCTAGAAAGATGCACTTATATCCTCATTTGTTCTGTAGGAGGTTTTACTCAGACAGTTAAGCTGTATTAGCAGATGCATCAGTATCTAGCAGTGGTGAACTCTTTTTACAGTATCATGAAAACAAATCATTTTTTGAGTTTTGATCAAAACCGATGGTCGTGTTTACTCTGTTTCATGATTATGACTACAAGCCAGGCAAATACAATTCTCTATTATTTATTAGCGAGTTGTTGTGGAAAATACAGTGGGGCCTGGTTTTCTTCTCGCAGAAGTAATCTTTCAGGAGAGATGAAGAGTATAAAACTAGATAAATTTATTATGACAAAAAATTGATATAATGGAGAAAAGACATGGGCACACAGGAGGTACGGTCTTGTATAGAGTTTTTTTGTACTCTACACAAATAGGACAACTCAGTGAGTCATTGGACATTCAACAAGCAGCTACTCTTGCCTTGAACTCAAAACACTGACTGACCCATTCAGATTTCCCCAAAATAGTCAAAAAATCCGTTACAGAGGTTCTTGTGACTGAATAAGCCTCATGCACAAGGTTGTCTTCCTTTTCCAACCTAATGTAATACAATTAGGCCCATAAAGTTCTGAACAGTAACACAATTTACCTCTTGTATACACTATACTATCTGTATACACAGAACTGCATTTTAAGCAGACAACCAAGATGTCATTAATCTGCAGGCTTTCACTTTTAATTCAAGAGGTTTTAACAAAATTAGTGCGTCCTCACAACATCTAACCAAGTCAAGAACACTCTCAATGAATTAGATGTACCATTGTTAAAATCTACATGAACACAGAGGGACTACAAAGGTGTGAATAAGAACAAGAAGGCCAAGTTTGCCACAAAACATCTAAAAGAGCATCCAATTATTTAAAAAAATCCCTCTTTGCGTAGATATAACCAAGAAGAGGACTTTGATGCAATTTAATTAACATTGCATTAAGGCACTTTATATTGTAAGTTAAAGACCCTACAAAAATAGACAGAAGTCCCATCAGATGACCCCCTGCAAGTAAGCTATTGGCAAAAGTGGGACAAAAAATTCCCTTTTAACAGGATGAGACCTTTGGGAGAACCAAGCTCAGGGAGGTGCAGCTATGTTGTGACCGGTGGGGTATGAGGGGAGAGAGACGGGACAAATAACACACAGGTTAGAGTTGGAATATGACATGCAAAATGGTGTATATGTATAAACAACTAGAGTGAAAGGAGGTGAGTGAAGAAGAGCTCATGGTCCAAAAAACACAACACATCTGTCAAACATGGTGAAAGCAATGTTATTGCAAGAGCATGCATGGGTGCCAGTGGAACTGGGCCACTGGTGTTTATTACTGATGTGACTGCTGATAGAAGCCGCAGGATGAATTCTGAAGTGTACAGGACCCCACTCTCTGCTCAGAGTCAGCCAAATGCTGCAAAACTGATCGGACAGTCCTGTACAGTTCGAATGGATAATGACCCAAAACATACTGCAAAAGCAACCCCAGAGTTTCTGAAGGTAAAGAAATGGGACATTTTTTTTAATGGTTAAGTCAGTCACATGATCTCAACCTAGCGGAGCATGTTTTTTTTTAGTTATCGAATACAAAAAAACTGAAGGCAGAGAGTTGCACAAACAAGCGCCAACTGAAGGCGGCTGCAGTAAGGGTGTAACAGAGCATATCAAAGGAGGGAACAGTATTTGGTGATGTGAACACTCATATTTAAAATCATGTCAGCCTATGAAAAATGCAGAATTTCCTAAAACAGTTGATGCAATACTTTAAATTTTTTATCATTTAAGCTACATTTTGTCATATATAAAGGCAAAATAACAAAAGCTGGGTCATAGTGCTAAAAATCCGTGAACCTAACTGTATGCGGTGGTATTAGGACATTAAAATGCGGCATCATATTTAACAAAAATAAAGCTCAAATTCCACGAATTCCAGGTGATGTGCACGAGCAATCACCCTGGTAAATGACTGTCACCTTCAATTTTACCTATTTAGCTGTGCAAAATGCACACGCTCAGTGACTAACAAACAAACAGCAGAGCCTGACCTTGTGAGATTATCAGGAGTGAAAATAAATCACCACACAAAATTACAGTTAGAGAAATTTGTGTATATCATGTTGTATTCTAATGTACTCAATATATTTGTGTTTGTATGTCTTGTGATGTCTTGTTAATCAACTTAAAGCTTTAACTTTCTGTTTTGAAATCTTTGAAGAATAAAATCACATCTAGTTTAGGGGTTTGCAGCGTCAACATGTATTGAGTTTGCTGAAAGAATCGTGCCACTGTTGGCTGAACTTGTTTTCACTGATCTTTTCCTTTGAGCTCAGTGTTATTAAATGTTAAAGTGTTGTTTTCCCCACTAAGTTTCATGCACAACTGTGTGCACTGTTGGCATCTGGAATCTAACACACAATTATGTTTAAATTGGACTTTTTACTGTAAATATGTTTTTATCATGCTATTTTATTTTCAAAACAAATAGTTGACTTTCACAGTTACAGTTTTACGATGAAACTGCAAATCTTCTTCTCTGCTTATCATTCAGCCCAAGCTGTTAAACCACAGAAAATACTGAAAGGCCACATTTAGATTTGCTCTAACATATATTCAGGTTTTATTCTGTGCACTGGTCAGGCTTCTCATGAATGTGCTTTCTCTCCCTCCACAGAGGAAGTCCCTGATCGCGACCAGTCTGATTGTGGCAGTGTCGCTCTTTGTGGTGGTGGTGAACTATTCTGAGAAGCCATCCTTCCTCTTTCAGCCTGTATTTGGCGAGACGTTGTTCTCCAAGCAGCCATACAAGCCTTACAAGCCCCACCTGGGATACGTCAGCATTCCCAAACAGGAGGTGAGGAACAAACACCTGGAACTACAGGGAAGACACACATAGATTAAGCTGTTACATCTCACTAAGTGTTCATTTATTTGTAGATGCTAGATAACATTTGCACTTCTATTCTCATGTGTTTTTTCATATTATTCGCATAAAAAAAATCAGAAGACTGTTATCAATTGTTTTTGAAACTGTATGTAAATGTGATGAATGTTAAATTATCAACATATGCTGATAATAGATGCTGATGATTTCCATATGAAATTTAAAAAAATGCTAATTCAGTGGATTTCAAACGTTGAGGGTCAGGTGCATCTGCAGGCGAGGTGCAGCAAACTAAGCTAAATGTATCAAGTCAAAGTAAGGGAAATGAACATGATTGTCTTTAGGCAAAATAAACAACAAAAGATTTTGATTCAAGTAAAATATATCTTTTATCATTTTATTTTTTAATCACTAAAGATTAACAATAGACCCGCCAGGATTCAAACTCTCTGGAACAAAATGATCCCTCTTGCAACAACAACTGTGATGGCAAAGACGTCATTTCTTAAAGAACTCAAACTTCTTTTTTATGTCTTTTTAATTATTATCCATCCATCCATCCATTCGCTTCCGCTTATCCTTTTCAGGGTCGCGGGGGGCGCTGGAGCCTATCCCAGCTGTCATAGGGCGAGAGGCAGGGTACACCCTGGACAGGTCGCCAGTCTGTCGCAGGGCCGTCACATCAAAATGTGTGAAAACAATCCAGCGTGCTGCAGCACTGATTTTGGGGTGTGAACTTCTTTCCAGCTCTTTGAGTTGGGAATTATTTTACTAATTAAGCTAAGTAACAAACTGATAAAATACTGATCAGTGCAGACTGTTGTACCACACAGCGGGATTTAATATTGCGTCAGTCAGTTTCATTAAATGCCCTCAAAAACCACCAGTACTGCAACACAGTGGAGTTCAGTGGCCTCAGTTAGCAGAGGTGAAGCCTTGGATTGACGTGATTGGCTCCAGCAACTTGTGTCTGCCCCCTTGCCAATCAAATTGGCCACACCCCACACATAAACACACACACTTTTAAACCATAATAAAAGCCAAAGGGTTAACTTCAAATGTGATAAAGAGCCAAGAAGTTCCCAGTAGGGCTGGGCCATATCATACAGTTCATGGTAATACCGGTATAATATTGGGCAAAGATAAGAAAATGAAATATCGCGATAGAATATGGGTTAAACGCGTATGTGCAGTGCCTTTGTTTTCATACTCACATGGTGGAAAAAGTATGGCGGCGACGGAGAATGAGAAGGGCGAAAGCGGATCGTTGAATGAAACGGATGAACCAGAACTGGTTTGTAAAAATGCTGCAACTTCAGTGGTGTGGAACTGGTTTAGCTTTCACCCGTCAGACTTTGCTAAGCTACGAACCCGCATCGCTTGATGGATTGTCGGAGCATTACGGCTATTGTAGGCAGGAGCCTCGCGGAGCGATACGTACTGTGCTTCAACATAATATTACCGTATTGTGTGTATAACCTCTTTTTAAGTTTTGTGGATATTATACATGGTTATGCTGAGGATATGCCGGCCAATTTCCACTGGAAATGCCTTTTGGTCAGCCAGGAATTTGCATTTGCACTGTTAAATTTTTATATAACTTTAATGCACATAAAAAACAGCTGCTTGTTTAAGTGAAAATACATTGATGGTTTTTGTTTTTTGCACTAATAAAGTTGTGGAGTTGTAAAGTGTTTTGTCTAATGTCAATTATGTCATCGTTATCGCAAATTTTCAAATGTATATCATGATAAATATTTTTGGTCATATCTCCCTGCTCTAGTTCCCAGTAAATAACAGAATTCAGGATTTCAGTAAAACTAACAAACAAAACCGAAGGTAAAAAAGTCATTTCAGCTATCAAGGCAAACTAAGAAGATTAAGAGAGCATAAGCAGATTAAAAGATGTTTTTAAATTAATGACAGAGGTGCAGGTGTAATTCTTCAATATTTGGCTTTAATCTTCCTAATACTAATAAAGTATCTTTCACATATTCTTACATATATTTTATTTTAGAGGAAAATGTTTCTGCTGCTTATGATAAAGGCATCTCACATTTTACATAGATATACATTAGGGGAAATAATTAGCTAAATGCCAGCTGAATTTGCTCACTTAAGAAGTGTACGTGTCTCTAATTTTTATGGCAGTTTAATTTTCATTTCATATCTTGCAGTTGGTCATCAGATTTGAACAGATCTCAGGAGGTTTTGGCCCACTCCTCTTTACAGAAACACTTTAGAGCCTTTAGGTTTCTTGGCTGTCACTTGCCAACTCATAGCTTCAGCCAACTCCACTGATTTTCTGTAGAATTGAGGTTTGGAGAGTGGCTATGCTACTCCATGACCTTGATGTGCTTCTTCATTAGCCACTCCTTTGTTGCCTTAGCGGTATGTTTTGGGTCATTTGTCATACTGGAAGACCCATCTATGACCCAACTTGAAGCTTCTGGCTGAGGGATGGAGCCACATGGTGTTAGACTGAGGGCAACTGATGTTTCTTTTATATTTCTTCCTTTTTTGAATAATCATTCTAACCTTGACAGTTCTTTGGTCTTCTCTATGCTGGTGGAAGAACTGGAATGAAACAAACTGATTCTGTGGTCAGGTGTGCTTTATACATGAAACAAGATGAGATCAGGAGTAACTGACTGATTGTAATCTCTCATCTGTCTGTGCAGGAATCAGGGATTGTAGGCAATCAAATATATAATCTGTTTCTCTCTCTCTCTATTAAAATGAAACAACCATAAAATTAGTGACTGTTAATTTCTTAGTAAGCAATCACACTTGCAAATTCAGCAGGGCATCAAATACTTATTTTCCCCACTATGTTTTTTTGTAAACATTTGATAATGCAACACATTTGTAATATAATAATACTTCATACTTGAGTAACCCTTTCTCCTGCAGTACATTTATATTCTATAAGCATTCACCTTCACAATGAAGGTGTAGTCTATTCAAAATAGAGCACCCCCTTAAGAGTTTTCTTAATTTATTATATCAGATTCTCTGTGATGGATCTGAAAATGCTCGTTTTAATGTCCCTTGTGAGTGTTATTTATTTTTAATCCCAAACACCCGTGTCCGTGATCCCATTCCTCTGCCTTCAAACAGCTTTGTGCTGTATATTCCCTGCACAATTTATGGAAATTGAAATATCAAAGCCTTTTAATTCCCACCACATCAAAATGTAAAAACCAAGCTGTGTTTATTGTTTGGGAAGGCAGCCTGTTTAAACACAGCCCATTGTGCTTATGCTATTCTATATTGAGTAGTCATGATGAAAAAATGTTTTAAAAAATGTACATTTTACTAAGCATGAATGTGTGTAACATTTCCGGGTGAAAATGAGAATTCGAAGTCAATTCATGTGAAGTGGATGTCTTATATTCAGCAGGATGATACTCGCAGATTAATGCAGAGCGCCATCCTCTGCCTCTGGAGAGTTTCATCCACACAACATGGGCCCAGAGGCAATCACACTTTACACCAGTCTCTACGTCTGCACCTCCTTCTGCCTCCAGACAAGACTGCTTAAATCACTGCCCTCTCCCCATGGAGATTTATGTAAATCATCGTAAAAAAGACTGGCAGCTTCTACAGAATTAGGCCTCTTTTGGCTCAAATCTCCCACCAGTGAGTTCTCTATATCTAATCAGGAAGGCAGTGATTGGCCTGAGAATGAGTGTCAAAAGTGCTCTGCACTCTTATGAAATTTCTGACAAAGGATGGATGAAATTGTGGAGGTCTGGTCAAGGCGATACTCCCGCGCCAGGTGTCGTAAGTGATGAAGTCGGGAATGAAGGCCTGCTGTGTGAGCTGTCAGCCTCTGTTAAGTACACAGCAGCACCTTTAGAAGCTGTAGCATTTCACCTGGACAGTAAGGCAATCTCACATGATCCCCAGTGAGGTGTCATTTGAAGTGTTATAAACCTCTCGCAAACATGTATAATGCATAACCCGGTAGCAGGGGTATGGCCTGCCTTATTTTATTCATTTGATTGAGTCTGTCTCCAGCTGTGATAAATTGTTCCTGCGCTGCTTTCGGGAGAAATAGAAAACATTTTTCTTGTGGCACTTTACATCCATGTGTCTGGTCCATCACAGAGCGAGGGAGAAACTCTATATTTTCATTTGGACGTGAGCATTTTAAATGCAGGCCTTTCTCACAACGTTTTCCACTGTGTGCGTTTCGAAAGTGGTCTGAGTTTTGGAGCACTTTGTGGATATTAATGGACGTTAATGAGAAAGCTTCTTGTTTGTGGCCCGTGTTGCACCGGCTAATAAAATATGCATTATTGTATGTAAGTCCTCTCTAAGTTCATTATCAGCTCCTTGCAGACAAGAGATAAAATAAAATTGCTCGCACCAATTAAAACTTGTCTTCATAAACATCTGTTACATAACATCCAAAACCATCTGCTTTGATTGCTCAAATAATGCCAAACAATTAAACCTGTGTTAGTGAAGAATTATGTGTTTCAGAGTTAGTGTTGGTGTTTAGATTAGAATGTCTGGGAAACATCTGGGTAAAATGCCTTTTTTTCTTATTTTTATTAGTTTATAATGATAAAATGTTTTTTGTATTTATTTGTAGTATCCAGGTTTACCTTGTTATGAAATAGGATTTGTGATTAAATGTCAGATAAGATGTCAGAAAGACATTTACACTCTTCAATCACTTTGCAACTGGATCAAACCTTTTGCAGTCAGAACTTCTTTAGTTCATTGTAGCATAAATTCAACAAGGTGTTGGAAACATTTCTGAGAGATTTTGGTCCATATTGACATGATAGTATCACACAGCTGTAGATATGTTGATGGGACGCTCCCGTTTCACTACATCTGGTGACTGTGGAGGTTATTTGAGCACAGCAAACTCATTGTCATGTTCAAGGACCCAGTTTAAGATGATTTGAGCTTTACCTTCTATACCAAATCTGCTTCAAGGTTTGATATGTTGT